GAAGAAGAAGAAGAAGAAGAAGAAGAAGAAGAAGAAGAAGAAGAAGAAGAAGAAGAAGAAGAGTAAAACAATAAAAAGAATCCGTTTATCACCTGTCTGCCAGAAAAAGCAATTTCATTGACATTTTTGCAAGTACCAGCTACTAATGAAACAAACTGCAGAGGCCAGTAGTGCTTATGACTGTAGGCTTGTTTGGAGTTACAAGACAGTGATCTCTACTTTTTTCCTCAGGTTTGTTTCCTTCTTCATTGCTAGACTTTGGGTTATAAGAGCCTTTACTCCATTATTACCTGGAGCCAATGGCTTAGACCTATTTCTACAGAAATTATGTAAGTTTACCTAAAGAGACACAATTAACCTAGGATAGCTATTTCCCCACAGTAATTTAGATTAACAAATGTGTTCATAGATAAATCCCATGTACTGTTCATCACCTTTTCAAGATCACCTGTGGCCCAATGGTAATGGCCCCCAGAACCATGAAGTCCCTTCCCCCGTGCAAACCCTAGTGTTCAAAGCTAAATGCTTGAGAGCATCTCTCTCTGTCCTTTTTATTTTTGCTCCTGTGCCGAGGTATTTGTGGTGGACACTAAGGATGGACACTGAGGCCTGGCCCTGAGCCACTGAGCCATGGCCACAGCTCATCACTTGCAACTTCTAAGTACATTTATATGTTTAAGCAATAAGTACTGAGCTTCTGGGGGAAAAAAAAAAAGGTAGACACCTTAATTCAGACAGCTTAGGTGACAAGCACAGAAGATGAAAACATTAAAGTCATAGCCTCAACTGTCACTCTGACGCCCAAGCTTTGTTCTAGTGAGTTAGAATGGATCTGATCCACAGCACACTTCACACAAAACAGAGTTATTTTTTAAAAAAAGTTGGAAAACAATATTTATATTGTCAAAACCTAAAAATGCTGTTCTTATCAGAGGCTACACACTTGTTTTTACTTTAAGAGAAGGGGAATAAAATTTTTACTCTAAAAAAATTACAAAAAAAATTTTAAGACTTTAAACAGACTTTTCTCTGACATGAACTTTTTAAGAAGTGGGTGAATATTAATTTAGTATTTCAATAAAAATTAAGAACAAAACATAGGGGGAAAAAACTGCTTTATTTCACCAGTAAGTAACCTCAGTCTTTCCCAGGATTAAAATTTAAAAAAAAAAAAAATCTAAATTTGTCAATACTTCATTTTAGGCGTCTTGACCAAACCATGTTCAATTTTCATCATTTTTACCGACCATGATCTAGAACAAACATAGGTGCGCAAAGGCCGGCACCATGGCCGCTACTTACACCTTCCTCCTTCCGAGCTTCCGAGCTCCTGAGTCCTTCCTTTATGTTTCTCGTCCAGGTGTCGTACAAGTGTCAGCTCCGGCTCGGGACCTGCAAGCTCTGGTCATTTCTGAGTGGCCGCTGTTCCCTAAGCCAGGGCAGGGTACACTATGCTAATGACTCTGGCAACTGTCCAATCAAAATCAAGATGCTTTCAGTGAGAGGACAGGTAGGAGCGGCCTGGCTCTTCCCCGGCTGCCAGCCACGTGATGAAGATTCTGTGGTGTGCTTCTGAACTTTCCTCTCCTTTTCGAGGACGGCAAGCTTAAAGGGATGATAGTTTTATAGGGTGGAATCCAAGGGGGACCGATTCACAGTAGATTTTCCCCCCATCGTTTATTCTGCCTTGTGCGCGAGATAGAAGGCAGTGGGAACACCAGCGTGACGGCGGAAATGACTGAAACAAGTTTTCAGACAGCTAACATCCCCTAAACCAGAAACACTGAAAGCCATCCCACCACCCGAATTCTCGGTGCATTAAATTCTTACAGTTAAAACATACTTTCCTCAAGATGTCCTCATGGATCCCTTCCCTCTAGAGATCTCCTCAGGGCGCAGGGTCTGCTCAGCTCCTCTGCTGGCCTCGAGGCGGTCTGCTGGGTTCTGGGGGTAAGGAGAATCAAAGACACCAACAAGTTCTGTGTAGCTCAGGGTGGCGGTGCAGGCTTGTAATTCCGGGAAGGCAAACAGAGAGCGTCTCTGCAAGTTCAAGGCCAGCCTGGGCTAAAGAGCAAGCCTCTCTCCTCTCTAGGGCATTTTTCTCCTCTTGCCTGTCTCTTGGGAGCTCTCAGACGCCCATCTGATACCTTCCAACACTGTTCGAAAATGCAAGGCTTCACATTTCTTTGCCATTACAGAACTCCTAACTTGCTATCACTTAGCACCAACATTTTTCCTAATTACAGAATAAAATCATTTTTTTTAGTCATTGTTGTTAATTCATATTGCAATCTTTCAGGGATTCCCACTGCTGTATTTTGATCACATACTCTCATACTCCTGCTTTTTTCCCTGCACATACCAGATGTAGGTGTTTTTTTTTGTTTAATTATAATCCCGTCTGTGGGACGGCCTCTCCGTGTTGACATGGATCCGTCTCGGCTTCGCACCTAGCTGAGGCTGCTTCCTCCTTTTCTTCACAGGAAGCCTTGATGGGTTCCAGCTGCAGCGCCAGAGCCGTGTTTGTCCCAAGCGCTGGTCCTACCTGGTGACATCAGAGCGAGCTACATATCCTAAGGCTGAAACCGCAACTTGCCAAATCATGACCTTTGCCTACTGGCTGTTAATCCTTTGGGGTTTTGTTTGTTTGTTTGTTTGTTTGTTTGTTTGTTTTTGAGATGGAAGTGCCTCCTTACACGGGGCTGGTCTCAAACTTACTATGTAGCAGAAGCTCACTTTAAGTTCCTGGTCCTCCTTGCCTCCTTGCCTAACGTTAGGATTACAGGGAGCAGCACACACAGTTTGTTAACCCTTGCCTGGGCTCTTGTTATAAATCAGAGGCCATGCTGGGCATTTCCCTGAATTACATTTGATACAGCATCTCTTCCACCTACTCCCCATTCTCCCCAAGCATGACCACTGTGCTCAGTGAGGTACTAGTCATATATGTCTTTCTCACAGAGAAGGAAACCCAGCCCCAGGGAAACAAAACTTGTATGGTCAAATATCACAGTGGCAGAACGGCAGGGCACTCTGATAGGCCAGACACCCGGTGCCGGTCAGGGTCAGCCATCTTTGTCTCAGCCTCCATTCAGGCAAAAGTCCACGTCCTCCTTCCTGGATAAGGAACCTGCCTTGAGCCACGTGGTTAGAAGCCGAGCTGTGAAGTAGCTGACCTTTCCCGGTGATGCTTCCTCTCACAGTGCCCATCAGTCTGCCACCAGTCTATTGGCATCTTTCTGGGGGGTTTCATGATTTAGGCCTTTGGGGTGGGGTAACTTTTGTTCGTGTGGGACTGTCTCATGAACCAAATCCCTCAACGTTGCTGACATCCTGCCCTCAGTGGCCAGGTGCCAGCCATGTTTGCAGTTGTCAAAGAAGGAACGGGGAGAGTCATATTATGCTGCCTTTTTCTGGTTCAGGACCCCTCTGCTGTTCTCGGTAGCGATGGCTCTGCCCAACTATGGCCTTTGGCTTCTACCTAATGGGTGGGTTCCTTCCACACTTGAAACTGTACTTCCGTAATCTGTCTCAATCGGTGCTCCAGAGACAAATTCCCTAGTTCTGCCATGCCTGGTCTCTTTATTTTCATTGTGTATTAGGTATCAAATCAAACATTTAATTCTTACAACTGCCTCAGGAAATAGGTGTTTTTAAGCTATGTTAGTTGAAATTATAAAGAAGATATTTAAAGTAAGGCCCAAGGAGGATCAGAGAGTTCATTTTTACAAGATTATCAAGTAATCATTTTTTTTTTAAATATCCCAAAGCACTGGTCAAAGGAGAAATATCAACTAGAGAAGAGTGATGTTAAAAATCATTTCCTGGACTATGGAGCAAAGCTGCCCCTCATCTGGTTCCTTCTGGGATCAGCATTCCCCTGCCTCCTTCCCTCACCATCCTTTAGAAAGCCACCTTCCCCCCTGAGGCTATCAGTTAGAACTCTATGTCCCAGCCTGACCCAGATATTCCCTGGAATTTTCTAAATTACAGATGATGAAAATGTGCCTTTCATCTCAGACGCCGAATGGGAGGCTGACCTCAGACCTGCTGATGTGCACCTGTGCCACATCGCAGGATCTAAGAGGACAGAGCTGGCCAAAAGGGAGGAATGAACCAGGAGGGGAGCAGAAGCCGGGACACCGGCCTGAGGCCTGCACCAGTCCTCAACTATGCCGCTAGGTGACACAATAAATGTTTCGCATACTTCTAATCCTTAGAACTAGGTTTTTCAACATACCCCCAGCTCCTGGAGCTCATCCTATGCTTCTAAGCAAATCACTCTCCTTTGTCATTGTGAGTCTAAAGGTAAGACTGGAAGGGTTTGTCTGACATCCCCTAATATTAAGAAGGTTTCTGTGGAATCCCATGCAGTTCAGCATGAAGGACACAGAGATGGACCCCACTGTCAGCCCCTGAGACGCCCAGCTCCTTCGTGGTCCGGAGAGAATCGAGGGGGTGGCTCAAAGGTCTCTCTTCTGTGCTATGCAAAGCTGAACTCCAGGCTTCAACTCTAGGGATTTTCA